TCATTAAAAAGTCACTTTCACTATTGATTCTTTGAATTTTTACATTTTACTCTGAATTTGTGAATTTTTGAATTTCTGAATTTCTGAATTTTTGAACTTCTGAATTTCTGAATTTTTGAATTTCTGAATTTTTGAATTTTTTGAATTTTAAAATTTNTACAGTATCCTCGTCTCTATTCGCCACATTTTTAAAATTTTCGACGGCGTTTTCAGGAGTTTGGAATTTCGTTTGAATTTTTTCAAAGGAATATTATGAAAACACATAACTTTGGGAACATTTTAAATCAAAAAATACCTAATAATTGTTTTAAAAACAAATGTTTGGATCATCAGAGTACTCCAAAAATAGAATAAAAAGGTCTACAACTTTCTTGAGAACCCTTGAACAAGGTTCAAAGCTCTAGATAATAACAATTATTAATGGACTTTAACAATTTTGTTCAATGACTAGCTTTTTAAACTCAAATGTTTATTTTTTTAGGTTTGAGGAGTGTCATTTATCACCTGAAATATTTCAAAACTTTATTTTTTCCTCAAACTAGAGTTGTCTCAATGACTAATGATGAGATATCTGTAAGCCCGGGCTCCGCCTCCTTTTCCCCTTCATAATCTTTCATTTTTTACTACAAGTACACAATCTTTTCATGCCTTCTGCTTGGGTTCTAAACTCAAATTACCTACACTTAAACTCAAAAACGATCATCTGTTTTTATCCCTATTTTCCATGCTTTTCCGATATTTCTCTTTCTTTATTTCGGGAGAGAGAGATAAATTACGAACTCCTCGGAACTCGGAAATGACGCAAAACATGTGTGAAACAAGACACAAATAAAAGTGTAGAATGACAGAAATGAGGAATGACACATGTGGTTTTGTGTTGGGTGGTTTCGACAAAAAAAATAGTAGTAGGAGTAGTTAAAATGATCAAAAGAGTGGGATTCGGATTTCAAAAGTTTATTTAGCAGTATCTGATCAAATATTGATAAGAGACTGGATCTATCAAAAATCGGTTGATTCATATTGGTAAAAGTCAAGGTTAAGTCGGGAAAAAGAGTTTGTGGACATCAAAGAAACTGCCGAAATGCTCAAAATCTCTTTACCGAAAGAGCACGGAAAGAAAGACCAAAATTACAGTAGAAACCACTCGATAAGAAGGAGAGGACTGATTTTTCGAGAGGATCGTCACAAAGACGCAAAAAACGAAGAGAAATAGATAAGAGAAAATTAGGGAGAGATTTGCAAAAAAAAAGGAGCACAGGCAAGAAAAGCCTGGAGGGGGATATTTGCACAAAATCACGGAAAGAGTTACGGAGGTTAATGAATAGAAGAAGGAGAGGAAACGCAAAGATGAAGTTGGGTTTCGACAGTTTTAGGAACTACCTTTTTAGGTTATAGAATAAAATTTTGGAGTCTAGATCATCGCCTAAAATTGAAATCTAGGCCATGACCCAAAAATTCGAAATGTAGGTCATAATTTAGAAATCGGAATCTAGACCACGGTCTAAAAATCGAAATCTAGGTCATGACCTAATTTTTTTTGAATTCGGAAAAAAGTCTGAAAATGAACAGTTTTCCGAAGACTTTAAATTTTTCTCTTCATTTTTCTTTAGTATTCTCGAGAAATTTGGCTACCAAGATTTCATATTTCTACTAATAGAAGCCAGTCCAACCGTCAAGTTTGAGCTCAATTATGTCGATTCCTGTGAGAGATATCTAAATGTGACAACTGATAAAATGATTATCATAATATCACCAAAA